CAGAGAGAAGGATAGAGACGAGCGAAGGAGAGAGAGAGAGAGAGAGAGAAAGAAAACATGATAGAGGAAAACAGAAACCAGGATAATGGCAATCACCACAGCAGGTATACACACATTTGTATGTACATGTACACAAATGTGTGCATACGTATGTTTTTTATATATATAGATGTGTGAAGGGACCATTGTGGTATAATGTGCGCTTCCCTTGATGTCTGCTTCTGGTCAGCTTTATGGGTTGATGATTCGGTGGTGCTCGCCCACAGGCAACTCCACAGCTGGACAATTGTTCCAAGGGTTTTGTGTCACATGGTGTGTTCACAATGTGTGTTTCTAGTGTTGTTTCTGGATTTTGTTTCTGGGCCATGGCATTGTTTTGTTCCTGTGCCGTGGCCAAGAGTGCCCAAGAGGCCCCCGAAGAGGCCTCAATAGGTCAGAGTTGTGAGGATGTTTGAAGCGGTAATGGCGAAACCACCTGCTCAGGGCATCTCGCATGTCAAAGTTGCGAGGGTCTTAAGCGGAATTGGCCAGACCACCTGGGGGCAATGCATCTTCGAGGTCAGAGTTCGGAGGATGTCTCAGGCGGCAGCGGCCTGACCCCACCTCACCTCAGGGCCTCTCGCAACCCAGATCTGCGGGGATATCTCAAGCAAAAGTGCCCTGAACACTTGAGCTCAGGGCATGTCGCAACCCAGAGTTGCGAGGGTGTCTCAGGCGAAAATGCCTGGATGATAATGGGGCAGGGCACCTCCGAGGTGAGAGTGTGGGGCCCAAACAAAGCCAGACATTGCCCAAACATAACAAAACAAAACCAGGCATTGCTCAAACATCCATCTAGATGAGGGGCCCCGAAGGACGAAAAACACGGAACATTTAGCGCCGACGAAGAGAACATATCGGCATCAGTTACCGCCGGCAAACGCGGGCGGCGGGAGCTTGGCCAAAGGCGTCGCGCGACGCGGGCTTGCGCTTCGAAGTGGAAGCTGCCCTCTTAATCCTAGGCGCTCTACAACCGCGCAAACTGTCCAATGCGCGCTCTAGCAACGGGCTTCTTCTGAGCACCGCGCCGCCCAGCACTCGCGGCATCGCGCGCCGCGGGCTTCCCCTGCACGCGCGCGGCGCGATCGGCAATCTGGCGCGCGACTTTCTGCTGGGCTTCGCGCGGCGGGAGGCGCGCAGGCGCCAGTGCGTCTGTGCCGCGCTGCGCCTGGAGTGCGCAGTAACTCTTTCACTCATCCCGAGGAAAGCCCCAGGCCATAATGCTTCGCGATAGCACGTTGGCCTGTCGCAGCTGCCGTAGCGTCGGCGACTGCAGCGCGCAACGCTGGGCCTGCAACTTGCCCGGGAATCCAATGCCATGTTGAAGCTCCGCCGTCGACGCGTAGATGTCCCCCTGATTGCGAAACCGCCTGTTTATTTTGTGGCTGAATGATTCAATGACCGACGTGCCAGACCCAAGCAAAGCTAAGCGCGCCGTCGGCAAGGAATGCCTGCATCGGGGGTCGTTGAAAAATCATTGCATGCGAGCTGAGGCGGTAGCAGTGTAAAGCAACGTCTTGAATTGAACGTTGTTCACGTGAGTGCGACGAGCAAGCTCATCTGAACCCAGCGCGCTCAGCGCGGCGACAGATTCAATGAACTCGTGCGCCGTTTTCCATGGCAACTCGGCATTCACGTTATCAATCAAAAATTGGGCTCGCGACTTCGACATTGAATGGTCGAATGTCTGTCCTCGCGCGCGCTCTTCTATTGGTCGCGGAGCCGGGGCGTTCGTTCCGTCGAATGGCGCCCCCCGGAATGGCTCCAGCAGCGTGCTATCAGACTTCGTGAACTTTTTGCCATAATTATTCGCAGTAGCTTTGATCCCACTGTCTTTTTCCTCCAGTGCGCCTCCTCGTACGTGATGGGCAAACGAACTGGGTCGAAGCTCAGATAGACTAGTTGGAGAAGCACGAGCGTCGCAACGCGCGGTGTAGCGCGCTGCTCGGCTGGTCACTGGCGACGGACGCAGTCTGCGATCTGCGCGCCTCCGATCAACGACCTGCAATCGCTCCAACTATTTCGTCAGATGCCTCGTCCCTCGTCAGAGAAACGCCGAGTGCCGCGCTCGTCCGGCCCGCAAGGGTCAGCGCGCGGCGCTTGGCGTCAACGTCTGGCACGGGCGCTGCGTCGCGCACTGCTTGGGAGGACCGATCGTCTGCTTGGCCCTCGACCCTGCGCAGAGTGCGGATGATGGCGTCCATGGAGACGTGGAGGAATTCCTCATGCCTCCGGCATTCCTCCATCAACGCAGCGCTGCGCTTCTCTACGTGCGCGCTGTTGAACGCGTCTTCCATGAGCTTTAACCAGTGATCAACGCGCGTCGGCAGCATGCTACTCAACTCAGAGCCCTGCTCCACGACGCGAGCGCGCGCCCGCAGCATCGCAGGGCGAACGCGCCAACGGTGGCGCAAGGATGCCTGCATCAATATGTGCGCGAAGCCACGGGCATAGTAAGTGCACCCCACTCGTCTGCACGCAAGACTCCGCCCGACTGCAGCTTTGTTCGGATACGACGGCCCGTCGGCGTCGAGAACAAGGACAGCGTCTTTGTCAACCGCGTTTTGTCCGCGATGAACTGCGGGAGATAATGTCTCGCGCGCGGTCGTCGCAGATCGCTTCAGCAAGTTGCGCGTTGGAGCTCGCAGGAGCCGTTCGTTATCGAACACCGCGCGCGCGACGTTGAACTGCTTCGTGCCAGACGACGCGAAGCGCGTCTCCCTGGCGTGGTACTTGGAGACGTGAGCGCGTAAGAGCAGCTGCGTCGAGAACGATCGGAACGGGCGCAGGCCGCAAGACAATTTACAAGTGCCCTCGCTGTCCCGCTCGGGGCACAAGAGCGAAGCCCCCGCGGCGATGCCCTTAACTGCCTTCTCCAGGCAATCAAACAACTCTGTCCGCACTGCCGTTTCGCCCTCGTCGCCGCTCGGGGATTCAGGGGCATCGACCGAGCCCGCGTCCGTCATCACGTGCGGCTCGCGCTGCTCGGCCGCGAGGCACGCCCGGCCCTCGCCGGCATGGTCCGCTCTGCTCTTGCCACTGACCCGCCTCGCAGTCGGCGCGCGCTCGACCCCGGCGCCTTCGCGCCCGGCGCGAGCGGGCGCGCTGCGCGTGTAAGATGGCGCAGGAAGGTGGTGGGGAGAGAAAACAACACAGGGCGGCAATGCCGACCCACAGGTGAGATGGTAGAAAACACAGGGCGGCAATACCGACCCACGATAAACACATGTCTTGAGCCGGAATAAGATGGAGAGGTAGGCAGCGACCCATTAGTTGCGCTGACATTGGATATGAAAGAGCTCGACTACGGGGGGCATCGAGCGACATAAGGGCTCCACGCCACGGTGGGCGCGTGGAAAGGCGGGGGGGGCATCTGGAGATGATGGAGACATCGCGCCTTTGCTGGCGCAGTGCGTCGATCGAAAGTCGCGGCCCGCGCTCGACGGAGGCCCGCGCCGTGGCGTCAGCGCCGCCGCGCCCCCCTGAGCCACAGTCGCGGGCGCGTGTCGGCCCGCGCCCCTCCTGGCCCTTAAGCCGCGTGTCGCCTGTGCACTCTGAGCATTTCGGCGGCGAGCTCTACGTTCAAGGTGTCTTCCCAGGCGACGCAACCTCCGCTGCGCCGCGCGCGTGCGAAGACGTCGCCGCGAGGTTCCAGTCGCGGCGTCAACGTGGCCCACGCGGAGGTCGTCGCGCGCAAATTGGTCACCTCGGGTAACAGAAATGATTCCACCGTGGCCACGCGCCCCTCCAGGTAGTGGCCGACGCCGTCGACGTCGCCGTCATCCGCCCCGCAAATGAAGCAGCGATCGCGAACGGGGCTGGGAGCTGTCACCGCGGCAAGTTCTGCGTTGGCAGGCGGAAACCAGCGAGGCGCAACAGCGAGGGCTCCAGGCAGTCGAGCGCCGCGCGGGCCGCGCGAGGCACTGCGCCTGCTCGAACTGACAGGCTTCACGAGTGTAAACGCTTTGTCAAGGCAAATCTGTTGATCCCGCGCGAAACAACGCGCTAATATCCGTCTCAACGCGGCTGGGAAGCACGACGGAATACTGTCGACTGCTTCGTCTGAAATCAGCGATGCCACCAGCGCGAAAGCATCGATGTCAGCGGCGTCGTCTCTCTCCGGAGACGATTGAGGAGTTCGCGCTGCAGCCGCGCGCGCAGCCCGCGAGGACAGCCGACGCTTCCTGCGCGCCGGCGTCAGCGAGCGGGCACCAGACGAAGCTCGCTTCTGGCGAGCCCTCCCGCGCGGGGTCGGGTCGCCAAACTCAGAGTAGTGCGGGCTCAGGAACGGGGAACCGGCGGCGCGCTGGTCGTCGGTGGTCATGGCGCCTAGGTGCAGGAGAACTCAGAGGACGCAATAAGTTAAGTGACAGGCTGGCAGAGCCGAGCCACGCCAAAGTTAAAATTCTTGAAAGAATAACAGCTATGGTTTGCTCTGCGCTGAGTACTGCTGCGACGAGAACGGCTACTTCTGGCGCTGCTGCAGACGCTGATGCTAGTGCTACTTTGAACAACCTCCACAAGTTGTGTTTGCGTTCCCTGGCAAACCTGCTGTCTGGCTAAATGATCTGCAAGCGCATGGTCCGAGACGCAGGATGTTGTGCATTCAATGATTATCTACTCATACTCTATGCTACTGTCGAGCGGGCTCTGCAAGCGTCGCCCGTTGGGCAGCGCAGCTTGCGCCCGCATTTGTTCTGTGCAATGGCGGCGTGACATGCATGATGTCTCGAGGTGCTCCCTTGTTTTGGTGGTTGTAAATCTGAATGGAAACTTCCCTTAAGCAGCGCAAGCGTCGCACCCGTGCGTTCCTTCATGCGAGGCGCCACTACCTCCGCGGCGCGCAATCGCGACGGCAATGCCCGTGCGCAACCTCGACTGAGATCTGGCGAAAGGCACGACCGAAGTTGGCCGCGGTGCTTCGGCAATGCGGCCAGCGCGCTTCCACGATCGGCCGAGGC